AGCAATGGCCTTTTGGGGCGCAGCGTGAACTGAGCTACTGCATTTACCTTTTTATTCGTCTATTTGTTCGTCTGGGCTTTGGCCGCATAAGAGACATAACATTTGACGCGATCGTTTTTACGATAAAAGACTCAACTTGTGTTTACCGTCACAGTGACTTGGAAACTGTTACCTAGTCGAATGACGACCCGCAACGACTATCCAAATAGCTCAAAATGCAGTCATATCGATTGGAACTTGGAAGCGAAGGCAGGCTTTTCGAAAAAAAGTTATAGGTAACATACCTCATCTGCTTTTTAAAAACCACCCCGTGGTACTAATGGAGAAAAACGGACAGTTTATCTATAAAAAGCGGCCAATGGTTCCACATTTCAAGAGTGAATTTCCAATAGGCAATCACATTAGGTGCTTATCTTTCCCGCGCCCTGCTGGGGGGGGGGGGGGGGGGGGGGTAAACACCCTTTGCGTTTTTTCGCGAATAAAAACGGCGGCACCCTTATCATACCTCTTTTCTGCACATTCTGTGAAAATGTCCGACCAAGGTCACCAAAGGTCAGGTCACCAGGTCACGTCAATTGACCTCACCTCATAAAAAGTTTCAATGCCTGCCATTGCTACGCAGAGTGACCGATCGCTTTAAAAACTTTCAGCAATTGATGAAAGCAACAGCATGTACAAAATGTATATCTCGGAATTTTATATCAGTTACCAATTTTCAAAAATTGGTAACTGAAAAATTGGTACCAAAAATTGGTCAGGCCAATTTTGTGCCCTCTCCATTACAAGTCAACGGGAAAATATTGAAAGGCGTCTCTTTTGGACGAACGCCATCCTGAACATTTTCAAACACCAAAATACAAGCAAACGTGACACACATAATTGAAAAATGGCACCTGTGACCCCTCGTTGTGTCCCTGAGGTCATATCAGGTCACGAATGGCATCTAACAGCTTTTTATGTACTAATAACTTTTGATGGAGGCATGCTACAGCGATGAAAACGCCTTAGATTTGTTCAGATCGACGATACGGATCGACTGATATGCGTCAGGAGTAGGACCTTTCCCAGTCAGGTCATGAACTTGATCTGAGGTCAAATTTTCAAGTTGACATTTCAAGGTTAAGTTATAGTTCGTTCGATGCGTCTTGACGACAGGAACACGATGCTGCTAAAAGCAAGCTAGTGCAAGTTTCGAGTCAAAAGGTATTGAAGAAAAACTTTGCGCTAAAATCGTCTAGTTTTGGCAGCTTTTGCTTCCTGCAGTCTGAACCGTTGATCTTAGGTCAAAACTAAAGGACAGAAAGCGCGTAAAAAACTATCAAATGCGCCTTCCGCGGCGCTGTAGCTCTATTTGTTCTTGAGTTACAAGCCGGTTTGTCGAAAATTATCGAAGGTTGGCCTGGAAAGTGGCGAAATATTACCTTCGGTGACCTCTGGTGACCAGACCTTAACCCGCGCACCGACGGGGGTCTGCGCCAACTTAGTACCGACGGGGGGGGGGGGGCGGATGACCGCCCCCCCCCCCTGAGATCTCGAGAACGAAGCAAGATAGCGACAAGCGGCAAACGGCATCGGATACGCACGGACAAGGTCTACAATTTTTACTAAGGTCATTTTCAGGTCAGGTCAAAGATGACGTCACAGGGGTCGAAAAAGTCAAAATGGCGGCGCTAGATATGGAGAGGGTTTTTCTCGAATAACTTTCGAAGTAGTCAAGATAGGAACAAACTAAGGGCATCATCGTGATCCTCTCGTCAATCCGCATCGAATGATATATATGTTGACCTCGAAAGGTCAAGGTCAAAGGTTGACCTCAGGTCACGTGACCTTTAGGTCATCATGTATATCATTCGATGCGTCTTGACGAGCTGAACACAATGAGACCATCCGCGCGGCTGTATCTTGTTCCTGTAAGGAGTTATTGGCAAAAAAACCTTTGGTGACCTTTGATGACGTCACATGACCTTACAGCTGCCCAACAGCAAAACAGACCTCAAGGTAGTGAAGGTTGATCGTATGTGAAGTCATGTATGGTATATGGGGCCATTCCGACCCGTTTTAGTGGTAAAAACAGGGAGTTGATTTTTCCCCCATTGACTTATAATGGGGAGGTCGCGAAATTGACCTGACCTTAGGTCACCGACATCAAAATTCCGAGATATACAAATTGTAGCTACTAATGACCTTATAACATCCTGCGACTTTCAAAGGCCTCCGACATCTACTGTAGCTCTGGCACGGTGACAAAGTTGCAAAAAAGTGACTTGAGGTTGGGTCATTCAAAGTGACCTGGTGACCTGACCTTAAAAGTTAGGAGGTTCAAACTTGCACACCATGTGTAAAATTGATGAGAGAATAGTCATACCAAATTTCGCGGCGCTACGCGCCGCGGTTTTCCCGCTATCCGCGAAAAACCTCAGGGGGGGCGGATATCCGCCCCCCCCCGTCGGTGCGCGGGTTAAAAGTAACCGCTATAATTTATTCATTTTTTACGCTCTTTTGAACGTCGCTTTCGGCGTGTCGCTGAGTGGCCTTGGAGCCGAGTTAGAAGGGGATATTCAAACACCCCTCAGCAGGGCGTGGAAATCGAGGACCCCCTGCGGGGAGCGGGTTAACTGCATGATGGATACTGCGATCGCCGGATACCCTTCATTACAAAGATCGTGCCTCGTCCGTTATTGGGAGACCACCCGGCAAAATGCACCACCTTCTGTAAACGTTCCGCGCCCCTCAGACGCATTCCAGGGAGGCGCGTGTGGGGAGAGGGTGACGGGAACGTGCGAACGTGTGAAAGGAGGAGGGTGCCGAGTCAGCGCAGCATCGCAGAGAAAAGGCAGCCGCGTGAGCAGTCGAGATGGCACATCAGCCAGTCACGAGCCGTAATTTAATGGTTGATGGGAGATAAAACGTCGATGTTGACAATAAGTTTGCACGGCCACTCAGGAACGAAAGTGTGGAGACGAGAGAGCTGACGGTCAGATTAGGGCAATCGTGTTCTTTTGATGAATGGCTTCATGTGAATGGTTGGTTTATCAGGAATGATCACGACCGAAGAGAGCTTTTCTTTTAGAACAGGAAGAAACCAACAATTACACGCATCCTTAGACTACCCAAAACGCGACTAACCAGCGATGCTAAATATAACCGTTTAGATTGGATGCCTTTGCAACTGTCCGCCACAACCGGCGAAGAATCGCAGACTCTCTGGGAACCATGAAGTACAACCATTTAAGTAGCCGTCTTCCAATGGCCCCGTGCAGCTCTCCTCACTCTGACCCAGTTTCAGCGGTGTCCTCCGACGCACACGGCTATAGCGTGCGAGTGGTGCATCGTTTTTCATAGCTACGGAGTCGGCCAAACGCGGGATAGTCCGCGGTAATCACACTCTAAACGGCCCGCTGACAACACAAAAACAGACCAAAGAACAGAAAAGCACACAAACGGTCCATTTGGTCAAAACGAGCTCTTTCGCCACTGTCCACTTGGTCCCCGAGATATCGTTATCTTCAGTGTGGGAAATGTGGGAATTAAGTATAGGGTTGTTAGCCCCAAGGTGATGACGGTTGCAGTATAATGGGATCAGGCTGAATCCGAACACCGACCACGCAGTGTCAACAGTTAGCGTCATTGCTTTGAATGCACAACAAATACTGTGATAAATTTGAAACGGTTAATTGAAGAAATCACAATTAAACAGTTTTCAATCAAAACGGTACCTACTAAGAAATTCACAAAATTGTCAATAGTCTGGTGAATATAGGTACACGTAAATTACAGGTAGGTAGGTATATGATACCAGAATTTTGGGGGCGATGAGGAAAAGCCATGAAAATTGACTCTGCGCGCAATAGGAGCCGCTCCGCAGCTTGACTTGTACGGATTAACCTACTACAAGTATAGGTATACAAACAAAACGGCCATCCGGGCGCCGCGCCGTTCCGACCTGCCGAGTGTCGTCCTCTACCCCGTGTTCCGATCCCTGAGCACGGCGTTTAACCGCCGTCCTCGGTGTCGGGCCGGGGTAAACACCAACAGCAGCCCGCCGGGGTGACCGGGCCGTGTCGGAGCGCGCTAACCACCCTCTGATTATGTCACCGGACCGCAGCGGACCCACGGCCGTCTGTGGATCTCCGCCGCCGGCTCAGACAGAGGGGTCACGGGCCGGCGGCGGCGGCCCCACTGCCCGATCGGCCAGAACGCCTCCCACACGGGAGATGGGGCTCCCGACCGCACATCGCCGCCTCCCGCAGCAATTATAGCCGTGACGGCAAAGACGCATACAGCTGCAGTACCGCTGCGGTCCAGAAGTGAGCGCAATACTCGTTTACCGTTCAGATGCGTGCTGCATCAGTGAACGGCAGGCAGTCGGCGCGGTTTTACGGTAGATAGAGAGCCATGAGCTGCCCCGAGTCAATAGCTGCCATCGAGTGATGGTGACAATATATCGGTGATCAAGAGAAATGCACTTATGACGATTTCACTGTTACTGTGTTCTGTTGATTTCACTGTTCTCCAGACCTATGTTTCTCCCACTCTAAAAAGAAAGAAAAAACGAGGCGAGTGGTAATAGGGGCAAACCATGCCCGGAAGGAGGCCCAATCTACCGCCAAAAATCGAAATGAAAACTTGTGCAGGCATGAAAAACACAAAGAACAGCGCTAATCCTACTTCCATGTACCCGGTCGATGGCGCCGTTGACTTATTTCTGTCTATCAGCAGTGTTGACGTTTATCTGTCTGTCTTTCAGCGCTGGTGTCGGCGCTGTCCACCGCTCGCGGGGACACGCTGCAGGCGGACGCCGTGTACCATCTGCACCTGACCGGAGGAAGGCGGCCGGCGGTTGACAGCGTGCGCGTCTCCCGCCTGCCACCGGCGCCGACAGGGCACAGAGGGCAGACGGCGGACGGGGGGCGGCCCCGACCGACTGACAACGGTCACAGCTCGCCCCCGACGGCGGCCGGTTACAGCTCGCTCCCGACAGCGAGCGGTCAGCAGGCGGCTCCACTGGCCGAGTACTCGGCGGGTCAGATGTATTTCACGCCCAGGATGCTGTATGTGGGTGATGACAGCACCGAGAGGACCGTCAGCCGCGGCTCGCGGTCCGGCCGGCGCTCTGACAGGGCTCGCCGGACCCGGGCCAGCTCCCGGAGACCCCGGACGGTCCGCCGGGACAGCCGCCAGGCCGGCTGGGGGCCGCCGGAGCCGCGCCGGCCTCCGTCCCAAGCCGCTGATAACCCGCGGTACAACCGACGGTACCAGGAGGAGACCGAGTGTCCGCGCACTCCTCACGACCCGGACGGCGACTGCATCAAAGGCGAGGCGGGCGCCGACTACCCGACCCTGGACACCATTCCGCGTACAGGCTTCACGTGCCGCGGCCGACCGGCAGGGTACTACGCCGACGAGGAGACACGGTGTCAGGTGAGAACGGACCAGGTCAGGTCAAGTGGAGGTGGGGCCAGGTCCCATCAGGTGAGACGAAAGGGAATGTCTAGCGGGAGAACGCAGCGCCTGGTGACATGGAGCGGGCAGTATCCTTTCAGAATGGGTCCAAGTCGAGGCAGTTTGGGACTGTTCTACCCATCATATCCGCTGAAGGGTTTGATCCGTCCAGATCGGTGAAGCCTGAGGCGTGTTGGAGTCTGAGGTTTGTTGAGGTGTGAGGTCTGCGGATCTTTGCGGTCTGGTGGAGTCTGAGGTCGAGATCTGAGACGTGTTGGAGTCTGAGTCGACCTGCTCCGCCGAGACGGTCCGAGCGGAACGTGTTACACAACCGCTCCGGCCGGCGCGCACCGGGTGGTCGTCGTTACGTGACACCCGGCACGTGAGTGTGACGCGACGGCCGACTGTCACGGCGGCCGTCACGTTACGGCGTCACGCGAGTCTCTGCGGCCCGGCGCACACACACGCACACAGTGGCGCCGCCGCTCAGCACGCACAAGCCGTTCGATGGCGGACGGGAGAGGACGTTCCACCGATACGTCCGTCTGAGAATAACTGCCCCAGTGGCCGCAGGGTTCGTCGAGATGGCCGGCGGTTGGGCAATCTGCGCTCCGCCATGTGGACGCGTCTGGGGCGGGGACGGTGGACAGTGGACAGGGCCGGATCATCGCTCACTGATGAGTTAATGGACCGGCCGGGCGAAATCGAGAGTGCCGGCGGCGGAGCAGCGCTGCTGCCGACGGGTGGATGAGTCGGTAGTGAACCGGCTGGGGCGGAAAAAAAATCCGACTTGGTCGCAACGTACAGTCTTCGGTTGCTATTCGGCCCATTGTGATTCCCTCTGCGACATGAAAGCTTTGCAGCTCATGCCCTATAACTATGTATATTTAGAATACCAGCACTTGGTGTATAGTACATACCACAAAACCCATACTCTCAATGTCTAGAAGCTTATTCTCTTCCTCAAACCACAAAGCAGTCAGCGATCCACCGATCCTGTGTCGGTGTGTCTGTGTGCTCCACCAGATATGCCACTAACGAATCTGCCTCGGTGTCCTCCGCGATACCTCACATTACTGCCTGTGTTTCCACATGTTTGACAATACCGTGTCCGTGGTTTCCACAGGTGTGGCACTACTGTTCGCCCACCCACGTCCGGCAGTCGTTCCTGTGTACCCGCGGCACCGTGTTCAACCAGCAGCACCTCGTCTGCGACTGGTGGTACGCCGTCGAGTGCGGCCGGTCCGACTCCTTCCACTACGTCAACAACCGGCTGTACGGCGCCGCAGAGCGGGCAGAGGAGCCGTCAGACGACTCCAGACATCAGGAATACAGTGGCTATACTGGGTACGGAGCGCGGCGGGCCAGATACCAGCGGCAGGAGCAGGAACAGGACAGGGTTAGAACGGACAGAGCGAGGGAAGATAACGGAGATAGGGAGGAGCGGGGACGGCAGGCGAGAGAACGAGAGGTCAGAGGACGGGCCGAGAGACAGCGAGATGAGAGAGCAGAGCTGCAGGATAGGGAGCGAGAGGCAAGAGCACGAGAAGAAAGGGAACGAGAGACAAGAGAACGGGCTGCAAGGGAGCGGGAGGAGGCGAGAGAGCGAGAAACGAAAGAGCGAGAAGAAAGAGAACAAAAAGCAAGAGTGCGAGCTGCAAGAGAGCAAGAGCAAAGAGAGCGTGAGGAAAGAGAACTAGAGGCAAGAAAGCAAAAGGCAAGAGAGCGAGATATAAGAGAGCGAGAGGCAGCAAGAGAGCGAGTGATAAGGGAAAGAGAAGAGCAAGAACGAGCGGCGAGGGAAGAGGAGGAAAGAGCACGAAACATTAGAGAGCGAGAGGCAGCAAGAGAGCGACAGGAAAGGGAGCGAGTGATAAGGGAAGGAGAAGAACGAGAACGGGCGGTGAAGGAACGAGAGGAGCGAGTACGGGCCGCGCGGGCCCGAGTGGTGACCGACCAGTTGTCGGCTGACGCTGATCGGTTGCGGCGGCCAGCGGAGTCGGTCCCATCCCAGCCGACACGACCCCGCCGCCCTCGCCCTAACATACCGCCGGCAGCACACACCTCACGGCGGCGGCCGCTGTGGGCCGGCGGTAGGCGCCGCGGCCGCTGGGTAGCCGTGCCCCGCACCTACACGGCGGCAGGGCACCTGGTGGGCACCCCGCGACCGGTACTGGTCAGCAGTTCGACCCAGAGACCAGCGCTGGTCAGCGGTCCGACCCTGCGGCCAGCACTGGTCAGCGGTCCGACCCAGAGACCAGTGCTGTTCAGCGGTCCGACCCTGCGGCCAGTGGCCATCCCCAGTTCTACACCGAGACCTCACATCGCGCACCGCGGCACCGCTGCGCCGCCGAAACCGGTGACCAGAGAACGTCCCTCACCACAGCGGTACAGTTCGATATCAGAGCCATACAGGCCCACCCCGCGGCCGGGTAGGCCAGAGGTCCACGGTGACGCAGCCCCGAGTCAACATAGCAGCACCACCAGCAGACCTGACAGCGCCAGCGAGAGAAGACCATTTGAACCGACGACCGCACAGTCCATCAGTGTTAGGCCAAATCCGTATGGAAGCTCGCCTGGCCCGTATGGCAGCACATCCAGACCATACACCAGTACACCGAATCCTTTCAGCAGTACACCCAATCCGTACAGCAGTTCGGTCAGATCGCACGGCCGTAAACCGAGTCCGTACAGTACTACCACCGATTCATACGGCAGCACGCGACGTCCTTACGGCAGTTCGCCCCGTCCGTACGGCAACACGCCCCGACCTTACGGCAGCACGGCTCTGTCGCCCTACAGCGTATCATCGGCTAGAAACTATGCCGGCCCGCCATCCCCCGAGGCCCACCACCGAGCCCCCGTGGTGAGGAGACCCAGCACGGAGCTGGCACGGAACTATCGGGGACTGACGGGATCACCGGCCGCCGCTGGCGACACCCACGGTCCACACGGAGACGCACCACCATCCACTGCTTACCGACACACCTACCCAGCCAGGACCTACCGAGGAATACCAGTGCACCGACCAGAGAACGCCGTGCAGGCAACACATCCCAAGAAATACACCGCCAGATTCACCGAGAAACGTACCGGCAATCCAACGTTCACCGCTCATGCATTCAGCAAACCCGCGGTTCTAGACGGTCCTAGTTCCCATTCAGCGTCCCATGGCGTCAGTTCATCTGAGAGACCACCTCCGAGCAGTGCGCCAGCCCGACCCCATCAACCCAGCTCTTCCGTGCAGACTTACAACCTCAACCCATCGCCGAGACCCTATAAAATCAGTCCCTCTCATTTCCCCTACGATCCAACCCCATCACCGCGTCCCTATAACCCCAGTCCTTCTCCTCTTCCTCATGACCCTACCCCATCATCCTATCCCTACGTGAGCTCCTCGCCTTTCCCTTATGAACCTAGCGCGTCACCTGGGCCCTACGAGTCAAACCACTCTCCCAGCCCGTATAGATCCGTCTCACCCGATCGTCCCTTCGGTTTTATCCCCTCTCACCATACCAGTCACTCAGCCCCAGCCAATCATCCCCACGACTCGAGTCCTATTTCTTCCTCGCATGACACCAGACCTCCAAAATATCCCCATGACACAGGCCCATCCCCAAGACCCCTTCATCGCCCTGACTACGACAGACCCAGTCTTCTGCCGTCCCATCCCCACGGGCCGTCCACAGAGGCCCCAGCGACCGTCACTAGCACCGTCCCGCGGCCGGTGGAGCCGCTCCCAGCGCCACCTACAGAGATGTCCCAGCTGCCGCCCGATCACACAGAGCCGATCTCTGAGGGGTACGAACGAGAGAAAGAGCAGCAGAAGGAGCACACCGCCGAGACTGAGGGATGGGAGAGGTACCCAGACGAGGCACCGCGAGGCCAGAGTGACCACTCGCCATCCCCTGGCCAGCGGCACGGTCCAAGCGAGGCGAACAGGCTTCCCGGGACAGTGCTCGACGCAGTCAGGGTGGCTCTTCACGGGGCAGACACAGCGGCAATCCATGACTCAGGTGATGAGGGTAACGAGCCATATAAGAGCAGTACTGAACCATTGATAAGCACAGCTGAGGAGGAAAGAACTGAGGTAACATATGTCGGCAGGCAACGATCCCCTGACATTGAATCAAACCCCTCCTCGATACGGCTGGCTGAGTACTCATTACGTTCCAAAAGCCAGCACTCTGGCTCTCCCAAGGAGAACCGCCCAGCCCCACATCAGTCCGAGCCACGGGCGAACTCCCCGCCCATCGATCGACCGGTGGAAGTCTCCGTCGCTTCCACAGTTGCGCCAGGAGGTGCCTACTTTCCTGTCACGACCAGCGCGCCCCCTGCGAGGCCGGCCAGCTCGAGTCCGAAATCTCCGACAAGGGCCGTACCTGTTCGCAGGATAAAGGTGCGGAGACGGCTGAGGAAGGTTCGACGGAGACGGCCCAAGCTAGCAGGGAAGGGCGGAGAGCGGACTGAGCGTCCGAGCGAGCGGGTCATTCCAGATAGAGAGAGGACGTCTGGAGAGGAGAGACATACAGAGCGAGACGAAAGAGACAGGGGTGAGACGCCCGACAAATACACCCAGGCTCGGACGGAGAGGATGAGGACCAAACAGCAGGAGATGAAGCTACGTCAAATGAAGACCCAGGAGCAAGGCAGGCTGCTGCGAGAGGAGAAACTGCGGCGCGCCAGGCAGGACGCTGCGCTCAAAACCAAGCGGGGAGAGCGGCCGCGCTGGGAGGGCGAGGAGCGGCCCCGCTCCCGGCAGAGGGAGCCGGTGGTGACGGAGGGTGCACCGAGTCCATCCAGCAGCACCAGTACCACCAGCACCACCAGTCGGCCGCGGTACACCTTCCCCCCGTACCGACCCACCAGCACCACTGAGCGGCCGCGGTACACGTTCCCTCCGTACCGACCCAGTAAAGACTCGGCCACACCACCCGGAGAGCTGCCGTTCGGGGCGCGGCTCGGCAAGCGGAAGAAGTACGGGGGATGAGATAAACGGAACGGTGCACGGATACGGGAACTGAGCGGAGGATAGCCAACGATGGGTGGGTGAGTACAGATCAGGAGACAGACAGACCGACGCAGGTCAGGAGAGGGACACAGGGTAACCGACGCGTGTCCAGAAAGGTCAGGGATACAAGAGTAAACGTCACAGGCCAAGACAGGAGACCTAGACTAACCGACGCGTGTCCAGAAAGGTCAGGGATACAAGAGTAAACGTCACAGGCCAAGACAGGAGACCTAGACTAACCGTGACGGGTCAGGTCAGAGAACACCAGACCAGCCGCGAACAGAGTAAAATGTGTCCAGGGCCCAGACCGAGGTCCCACAAAGAAAGCAGCCTGGAAATGTTTTTAGTGCCTGCCCTTTATCCAGCGACGCCGTTTAAAGGTTTCAGTTTACTGATTCACTGGCGTTTCGCTATTGCTGAAATACACCACTGAAACCAATTAGTCCGGCGGGTGTGCGTAGTAGCTAGCTATCCCACGGTAATGATAATGAAATGGTGTTGGGAGGAGCAGACAGTGCAGCTGATTAGAATATGATGCAAACCAGCTAATATGCCGGATTTCAGGTATATCAGAGCAGGGTAGCACATCGTGTGCCGTATGCGCTTGTGTCGTTCCAATGAATCCATCCCCTGGTACTCTGTATGTTGACACTCAGTATGAAATGTCGCTGAATTTACGGAGCAAGTCTGGTATACGTGATCGTTCGCCAGACGACAGAATGCATCAGTAGGACCGTGTGCTTGTGCGTGTGTCGATGAGAAGCTGTTTATTCGCAGGTAGATGCCAAATCGTTTGGTGCATCAGGATTTCGTGCTTTCACTGAGACAATGTGAAATGTAGTCATGTCGCAGATGCTTAATAACAAAATACACCATCCGTAGAGAAAGACAACTGTATTTGGCTACGTTCCGAGTTCAATGGCACCACTCCGGGGTCTCTGTAAGAGTATATCGAGCCACGGGGACAGCCGGTCGGGAGTCATCGCCCCACGGGAGCGGCATGAGACGCGTCAGGACAGACTGACGCACAGCTGCTACCAGCACTAAGTACAGAAATCTCACAAACGAGCCTACTGTGAAGCGGTTCACAGTACACTAACAGGTAATAAGGGGAGTTCACAGCACACAGGTAAAAAGGGGCGGTCACCGCACACTTACTGGCAAAAGTGGCAATCAAAGCCCAGTAGTTGGTAAAAAATGGCAGGGTCACAGCAATCCAACAGGCAAGTGGGGGATAATCACAGCACACTTTGTACATGGTCAGGTCAACGTCTGGAACTAGTTACTAGGGTTTTGGGTTCGGCTCATCACTGATGGTGGTGAGAGTTTGATTGTTAGTTTGTTCTGTGTTTTTTTTTTTATGGGTACTTCCCAGTATGGCACGACCATTTCCGAGTCATGCGATGGTAGGAAAGGGAAGGACAATGCGACCACTAGTTGTGATAAGCAGTTGGTGTGCCGCCGCGGCCAAGTCCTGAGACATAACTTGAAAGAGCTACATGCAATCAACAGAGACCAGAGCCGGCTCCTAGCACACCTCAGCCGACTCCTAGCACACCCCGGCCGGCTCCTAGCACACCTCGGCCGGCTCCTAGCACACCTCGGCCGGCTCCTAGCACACCTCGGCCGGCTCCTAGCACACCTCAGCCGGCTCCTAGCACACCTCGGCCGGCTCCTAGCACACCTCGGCCGGCTCCTAGCACACCTCGGCCGACTGTGGAGTCAGGCACAGCCTCTGTGGCGGAATCAGCTGGAGTCCTTATAGCGGAGTCCGAAGTAGCCTTTGAGGATGAGTCCGCTGCTGCTCTTATGGAGAAGTACGATGTAGCCTTTGCGGAAGAGTCGGCTGCTGCCTCTGTGGAGGGTGTGTCAGTTGTAGCCTCTGCGGAGGTGTCCACTGTAGCCTTTGCGTTGGAATCCGATGCACCATTTGTGCCGGAGTCCAACGTAGCCTGTGCGGGCGTATCCGCAGCAGTACCTTTTGTGTCGGAGTCAGGAGTCCGTACGTCAGAAACCTCTGGTGCCCGTGTCAGTCGGCTGGAGTCCGTTGTAGCGTGGGTGCCGTTCTCTGCCACAGACTCCGAGGTGACGCCTATTGTAGGCTGTGTTCCACCGTTTACTGAAGGCTGAGTAACTGAACCTACTCCAGGCTGCGCGGCAGAGGAGGTCGCTGTCTCCAATCTAACCGCTTCAGATATCTTGGGACCTAACCAAAGCACAGACAGAGGAAGTATCAGAAGCACGATTAGGCAGCTCACTCGAAAAATAGTGCCAAAAATTGCATGAGCCTGAACACAACCGACGGATCTGATTAATACTTGCAGCTGCATCCTATGTCTGTATAAGAAAATGATCTTGGAACTTTTTGTGCCCATGCTGATCGGTATCCTACGTAGATCGGCAGTCGTAAAGCTACCCAATTAATTGTCGTTGATGACACATTCCATCATAAAATCGGCATTTTAACAAGAGCTCGTTTCCAAGGATAACACAAAATCGATAGGACTGACCTGCGCAGCCCTCCAGAGGACAGACCTACCCGGCCTCCATTGGGATTGACTGCCCAATCTCAGGGGACTGACCTTCCCAACTCCCACAGCCCTCCCGGGCGGTGTGGGACTGACCTGCGCGCCTCTCCAGGGCGGTGTACAGCCGCTGCAGCGTCTCCAGCCGCCGCCGCTGAGTGGCCAGCACCACATCGGATGTCTGTTTGTGCTGCGCCATCCGCAGCAGCGCCTGGTTATTGGCGGCGCACTTCTGTCTCCAGCTAGCCGACTCCGCCTCCAGCCGGGAAACGGTCTCCTGCATCTGAGCAGGGAAAGGGGAGCGACGGACAGTTAACATAGCTCACAGCAAGATGAAATGCAAGACCCAGAATCAGCTGTAGCAAAAAAACACACTTAAAAGTAAATCCATTCGCTAAAATGTCATCATCTATTTAAATAAGCTTATACATAGATAACATGAATCATGTTATCATCATGTTAAAGATTCATGTTATCTATGGCCACGGACGTATAAATAAACTGGACTGACAATCCCAATGGACCTCCTATGGAAGATAGTGAAGCCGACAAGGCGCCATTTTACGTTGCCAAAAAACCGTGCTCTGGAAGGTCATCGAGCCAATACAATTAGAATTGCGTCCAAACGGATGATCGGATCGAGATGCTGGTGGTACCGTTCGACGGGTAATTCCTTGAGGCAGGTGATGATGGATGTCACATGTCACCCGGTGTCACATGGCGCGTGCCACGTGCCGACAAACTTACAAAGGGCAAAACCCTTTAAGCGACGCTTCAAATCAAACGAAGGGCGGCACAGGTGCCAAACTCACAGGTCACATGTCCCAGTGTTCGACCACTAACATATGGTATGCTCGGCATCAGGGGGTGCGGAATGCACGCGCTAGTGGCGAAAAACATGTTTTGAGGAGGCATCCTCCGATTCCGGAAAACCTTGACCTAGGCACACCAAATTTGGCACACTGACACTACTGGACACGCGCTCTAAGGGGCTGTACAAATAGGCGTGCTGGGGTACACGGTGCACGTGCTGTGCACGTGCAAACCTTTTGATGTTGCACTCCAGGTGTCACATATGCGGGTAGGGCGGGTAGCGCTGGCTAGCTCAAAGTGCCAAATTTACATAGGCCACCCAGAATGTATTCCAGCATAGTTATAGAGCATATCCATCTCCTGGTGACCCCCAAAGGTGCGCTCTGCACGTGCAAAAAATTATCCGCGCCGGGCGGTGGGGATGCTTGGACACCCTATGTGGATTTATGTAAATATCTCGAAAACGGCGTTGTGTAGCGCCGCCGTTTTCGGCACACCTTTTCACACATCTTTTTCACACATGCTGCGTAATTTTCAGACTTAGGTCACTCAAGGTTAGGTCATCAGGTTACGTCCAAGTGACCTTACCTTAGGAAAAGTTATAGTGCCCGTCATAGCTACTAGTGGTGTCAATCGGAACTTGAATCTTCGGAATTCCGATTTTGTCCAATGTCCAATTCGGAATTTGGTTGGACAATGACAGCAGGCTTTGGACAACTTTGGACAATCGCTCGCTACACCTCATTTTTTTATAAAGTACCTAATCGTGTTTAACATTGATTGGCCATTAGAAAGCTCAGTTTTCCATATGATTAACACTTTTGAGCTGGTAACGATACATTAAAAGCGAATTAAATAACGGTGTTGAGTGTAAACTATTGCCTAGATGTCGGACATCTTTGGACAAATGGCTGGCTTGGAATTTTTGGACGGACAGTCGACGTAAGTATTGGACATTGGACGGACATTAAACATACATTTTCCGAAATTGACACCACTAATAGCTACACAGACTGAACAATCGGTTTAAAACGTGCAGCGATTGATAAGAGCAACAGTATATACGTAGAGTACCTACCTACCTACCTCTACCTCGAAATTTCAATACCACTGACCTAGGGTTCTGTTTATTTTGCGACCTCAGACCACCAGCACGGCAAATCATTTATTTTGTCAAATTCGGGCTCCTAAACTTTTCGCTACCCAGCAACGCAAATTTACGCCTCAATCGCCGGCCAGCGCAGCATAGGCATTGTGGTAACCACGTGTGTCGCCGGCCGGCACGGGAGTTCCCGGCGCAGACCGATTCGCGCGCCGACTTGTGACGTCGCTACCCCGCCCCGGCGCTGGGGGGCGGCCCAGGACGTGTCTGTTCGTGAACTTTGTCCCATCACGAGGCGACCGCGTGTCTGCGGCCTGCGCTGCCGCAGTGCGTCGGCCAGTGACCAATCCGCGCTCCGATCGGCAGCCACGTGGTGTCCGAGTGCTTCTGCGCATGTCTGGACCCGGCCCGCTGCGTCGGGCCGCGCGCTACCCCGGGACTTCTGGCCGAGCTCTTGGCCCGAGCAGACGCGTCACGTCTGGCTCCGCGATTTGGCCCGTTCTGTCCGGGATTTATAACTTAGATTAGGCAGGGCATATTTGGCAAACTTGGATTTCATTCTCGTCTCTTCGTCGCTCAGTTGTCTGATTCCCTGTTTTGGTTTTTGACTTCGTTTTGGTAATTTAAATATAACAACCCGCTCTTTTAATTAATTCTTTTACTTGGGGCCGTTTGGATCGAACTGATTGAATTTTTGGAACACGCACCAGGTTGATATTTTCCATTTCTGATTAACGTAAAATCCAGTCACTGATATGTGGTGAACAGCCCCACAGCACCACATATTGGTGACCCCGACGTGATTCTTGTTTGATTTTTCCATACTTCCGGGTTGTCGCCTCCGCTCATTCCCGAATCAATTATTTCATTTTATTCCCCCACATGGATTGCTATTCCGTCGCTCCACAGTGGCTTCTGCGCCATTTTTCCATGATGGTTTCTGTACCATCTCTCCGCCGTGTGATTAGTTAGGCATTTATCTTCTCGGTGATTTTATTTCGGCGTTCCATTGGCTCTTTCGGATTTTGCACTCGGTGTTTTAAATTTTAATTGTTCAGTGCATTGCAGACACCGGCTACACTTTAACGATCATGACGAACGAGCGCACGATGGAACCCGCTCATGCTGAGCCAGTCCATCATGTCTCGATCAAGCCGCCGGTTTTTATGGACACCGCGGTTGACGGCTGGTTTGCTATTATGGACGCCCAATTTAACATTGCCAAAATCACCAACTCGCAGACCAAATTCTACCACGTTCTCTCTGCCCTGCCTCCGGAAACCATCTCGCACATTCCGCGTGCTGTCTTGAGCAACAAAAATTTCTCTGAGCTACAGACAGCCGTCACTGACATGTACGAAAAGACAAAGCCAGAGATGTTTGAGAAACTGATCAGCAAAACGCGTCTGACGGGCCGACCCTCACTCTTTCTAAGCGAACTCAGAGAGGTGGCCGACAAGGTTGGTGTCGGAGACGATCTCGTTCGGCACAAATTTATCCAGTCGCTACCCACAGACATTGCTACGGCCCTGGCTTCTCAGCGCGAGCTCTCATTGTCGCAGTTGGGCAAACTCGCGGACGAACTGATGCCTCTTGTGCAAAACTCAGCTACTAACATGGTTCACTGTCAGGATCAGGACCCACAGTCTGACTCACAGGCGTTCCTTGTGGCTCAGCAGCACCCAAGGTACCACAGGGCCACTCAGCCGCAGAGCCGAGCCGCCACACACTCCCCTGCTCGTGATGCTCGTGATTCAAGGGCCGGTCTTACGCCGTTCCACCCTGACCAGAAGCCGAAAGTATGCCGTGCTCACCTGTTTTTCGGCAGCCGAGCACGCACTTGCAAGCCATGGTGTCACTGGCCCGACAAAGCTGCTGATCTGACCATGCAGCCGTCCTCACGAGCTGCATCTCCCTCCCGTGCAGCCACAGAGTCGGGAAACGAGAGGAGCAGGCCGTAAACGCAGCCCTCGGCCTGCCGCTCCTTAGGGTCACAGCCAAGGTGAATGATCAGCCCCTGAAATTCATCGTGGATACTGGCGCTGGTGTATCCCTGGTTCCGCCCTCCTATGTGAATGGAACTCTAATTCACCCATCCGCTGTTTCGATCACGACTGCCAGCGGGCAGCCACTGCGCGTGCATGGCGAGGCCACTCTCGATATTGTCCTCCCCACACTCAGACGCAGTTACACATGGACATTTGTAGTGGCTGAAGTGACAGAGCCACTACTCGGTAACGATTTTCTCGCTCACAACTCGTTGGTTGTCGATTGTGGTTCCCAAGTTCTCCGCGACTCCACCACTCTGCTCTCTGCTCCCGGTGTACCGACGACCGGGGAGTCTGTTCATTTGGTGATAAATGATCTCGCTCAGGTGCCTGAGGCAGTGCGGCCCATCCTAGAGGATCACCCCGCTGTTCTCAGCCCTAACCAGCCGGATTACACAGACTCGCCAATCAAAACCACTCACTTCATCGACACCGGCAGCGCTCCACCCACATTCGCCAGCCCACGCAAGCTGCCGCCCGACAAACTAACCGCAGCAAAGCAAGCACTCGATGTGCTGCTCAAAACAGGAGTGATTCGTCCGTCTAGGTCCCCGTGGGCCTCACCCATCCACATGGTTCCGAAGAGTACCCCTGGTGAGTGGCGTGTCACCGGTGATTACCGCGCGCTCAACGCCGTAACCAAACCGGACCGCTACCCACTGCCGCACATTCAGAGCCTCTCAACCAAGCTCCACAACGCTCAGTGGTTCAGCAAAATCGATCTGCTCCGTGCATATCACCAGGTGCCTATGAACCCCGCTGACTCGGAGAAGACGGCCGTCACCACGCCCTTCGGCTTGTACGAATACACCTTCATACCAATGGGGCTTCGCAACGCAGGTGCCACATTCCAGAGGGTCATGGACGGCATCTTCCGAGACGTGCCGTGCGTGTTCGTCTATCTTGACGATATCCTGGTATTTTCCGAGAACCAGGAGCAGCATGAGAAAGATCTGCGCCTCGTGTTCAGCAAGCTGGCTGAGCACAAGCTTCGCATCTCACTGGAGAAATGCGAGTTCATGAAGAAGTCACTCATTTTCCTCGGTCATGACGTCACCAGCACAGGTGTCACACCTCCCAAGGCCAGAGTGAAGGAGATTCTGGACCTCCCTCTACCGCATGACTCAGAGTCACTGCGTCGCTATCTGGGACTCATCGGTTTCTACCGGCGTATGATTCCGCGATTCGCCGATGTCACGTTCCACCTGACCGAACTGATTCGACTCAACCCAAAAAGCAAAGAACTGACGTGGACAGAGGAACAGACTCAGGCGTTCAGTGACAGTAAAGCGGCGCTGGCCGGCGCCTGCACTCTTCCAC